CGCCTCCACGTGGTTCAAACTTTGTTGACCAAAAGCAACCTAGTTCCTGGCCTCTACAGCCGTATTACACCGGCAGTTGGATACTCTAGAAGTAGCATAATACCAATTAATGATTCAGTTATATATAGTCATCATCTCCTTGGAATCTGACAGTGAGTTTTGGCATATCATCGACATCATTGTCTGCATCTGCCAAGAGCTCTTCTCTTTTGGAGTCATTGATATCATCGAATTGTCCATGGAGATTGAAATCACGTTCATCTTCATCTTCAGGTTCATAGTCCTGATCAAAGGCTTCTTCTAAGTAACCTTGTTCTGTGTCATCCACTCCTGCAATTTGATCGCCATCTTGAAAAGTCTCCAAATCTCTCTTCTTATCAAAGAACTTCACGGAAGTAACACCTTCAGCAGCAGCCCAAGCTTCAACACGCTGGATTACTTGATCGGTAACGGGTAGTACAACGACCTTGGGTCGGGAAATCATCTTCTTAGTATTGAGGTTGAGCACTCGGTGCCCAGCACGTTGTCCCTTTGTAGGTTCAATGTAAATCGCTTCAATACTTTGGGGTTCCGTCTAATTGTTGGAATCCGTCCCAATTGCATGAACATATTGTCCAAGTTCAGCAACCATGTCACTCTTGTAGTTGATATTGAAATTATCAATGAGTTGCTGCGGACTGAAATGTGATGAGATACTGTCTTTCTGGGGAAAGACATTCAATAGCTTGGCGGCTTGACGTCCAAGACATTCAGTGATCACTTTTGGGACCACTTTGTAGGGTAATTGTGCAAGAGCTACTCTGACTCGTTCTTTCAGCGTCCTATTGTTTCGCTCAGCGGTAGGCTCGTGGTCTCCAGCTGCAGTCGGGTCAATAAAAACACCCATATCTTCTAGCATATCATCCGTGAGAGGAATGAACGCCCGATCACACTTGATGATCTTGACTTGAAAGCCTGCCTTGTTGTAGCGGCGGAATATCTTATCCAATGCTTCAAATACAAGGTCAGTCTTCAGGTTTTGCACAGGAATACATGAGCGATAACGCACAGTGTGGTATCAATGCAGGTGAGAAACTTAGCATTCTCGATCTCCATGTGATCAATACAGACGGTAATAGATCGATTGTGCTGATATAATTCCTCTGGTGGACTGAAGAAGTGGTCATACGTCTTCTTCGGAGTTGGTCTTGTTGAGGTATCTTGCAGCAATCATCTTGCGCATAGCAAGTACATTGGCAATTCCATCTTCATCATGATAAACTGGAGGTGGAAATCTTCCTAGAAAACCTTCTTCATCAAGAACTCTGCTGCCTATGTTGGTGTGCATATCAAGTTCCTTCTCAGCATGACGGAGTCGGTGCATGAGCTCACCATTACAAATGGTGGTGTTTGTACAACCACTGTCCATGATGACATGATCGTACAACCCAAATGGATCTCTTTGCTTTCTGCGGCTTTGAATAAACTGCAGACCTTGATCTGCTTCAGTAGCAACATCAGGCACATCTTCATTTTCACTAGCATAGTGCCAGTTGGCTTGAAGTTTGACATTTGTTGTACCAGCAGGACATGGAATAAGATAGACATCATTGCCATTCTCATCCTTTCCCTTGATAGCATTGTGAAAGACATTTGACATATCAAAATATCCAGTTTTCACAGCTTGCGGAGTTTGAGCTTGAGTTGCATCAAACCCTTGGCGCACTTGAGCACCACTGAATCCTTGATGGCCGAGTTGCATTCAGCTGAACGCAATTTCACCATTAGCATTCATTGAGTAAGGGACAGTAACAGTGCCGCCACCTTGAGTTGGAATCTGCATGAGCTGCATTCCAGAAGGAACTTGCATCATTTGATTACCTGTAGTACCAGCAAGTTGCAAAGGTGTGTCAACGCTTCCCGCAACACTTGATGCTCCACTTGTGGACGCTGAAGCTCCAGGAACTATAGCTGGAACAGTAGCTGGGACAGTTGCTCCAATCTGACTAAGATTGAGCTTCTTCCCATACTTGACATATTGGTCCTGAATGCTCCATTGGATCTTTGGTAACAGTCTGTCTGGGCATTTTGGAGACATATGGTCTTCGTTGCCACACACATAACATGCTGTCTTCTTTCCATCCTTCGGTTACCCCTTTCCTTTTCCTTTTCCTTTACCTATACCTTTATTAGGTTGGTTTTTTCCTTGGTAGAGGTTCACTCTAGGATTTTTAATCACATCCATGTGAATCTTCAACATATCTTGTGCTTTGCTGACCGTCTTTGGATAATCCAATTCTCTGCAATAGTTTGTCTGAAGATCCAGCATCAGAGGAGCTGTTCTCGTTTGATCGCAGTTGCACAGAACTCCTGTTGCAAGAACGGCTTCAAAGATATCATCCTTGAACTTGTTTTGAGCAGCAGTATCGGTACTAGCAATAGCAGCATACGCTTTCGTCTTGACTGCAAAATCTCGGAACCAGGCCACGCCATATAGATCTTGCAGGACTTCAGCCTGTCTCAAGAATCGTTCCTTGAAATGCATCAAGTTTTCTGTTGTTCCTTGGTTCATAGCAAAGAACTTTTGATTTGCTTCCCAGAAATCCAAGAAATCATACTCAGCATCAGCACTCTTCTTCATGAATTGTTCAATACGCTTCAAGAGTTCGATCGGATCTTCAAGAGTAGTCGTGATATTGGCTTCACCTGGAAGCTTGATATCCATCGTCTTTGTCACAAACTTCAGCATGATGTTTGATTTGATGGTTCTCTTGTTTGTCTTGAAGTAGGCTGATCTTTGCATGTTCTTGTCAAGCTTTGCAGAATAGAGAATCTTGTTTTGGGCCATCTCTGTTTCTCTTGCAACAGCTTCAGTTTGAATTGGAGCGTTCAATCTTGGAGCGATTGCATTGATTTCGATCGACTTTCCATCTCAAATTGATTTCACCACGTCTTCGGAACATTTCATTCCAGAAGCTTAGACGTAGTCAATCACTCTTTCTTTGGCATCTTTGTACGACGATCTTGCCTTTCAATCGTTTTCATCTTTGCTTGAAAAAAGATGTTTCACAACTGTTGAACTTGAATTGCTCTTGACTTTCTGAGGAGTCACACGTCCTCTTCCAGCACCGGATGAAGAACGTCCCATCGTCAACCAATCACTCACTCCTTTGTAGATAAGGCAGTGCTGTTCTTGACGTAAATTTGTTTTGTTGCCTTTTGTGATTGAATGTTAGAATAAAGCAAAATGTGCTCTATCGTGAGCTCCTTTAGCGTTGAGAACAAACTCTCTGCAATCTAAATTCGTAATTGACTGTGCAACACTTTCACGACAATAGTTCTCCTGTGTCTAGGTATACTTTGAGTGAAATTGTTCCTATTTGATTAATATTTGGCTTGAATTGATGATTCAATCAAAAAAGTGAGTTCAACAATTTTCCCTTGGAAAATCCCTTGTTTACAGAACTTGATTCAACCTCTACGATGATTCTGTGTTGAATGCAGTACTTTGGGACATCTTGTATTATTCCCTACTGCATTGTACACAACACCAATATCACACTTGTATAGGGTCATTCCCTTTTTGTGTGGATATAGGTTGTCCGACAGACTTGTGTCTGGCATACTTGCGACGAATCCCGACATCACGATCAAAGTCCGATCGTACGTGTCAAAAACTTTGTACTTGAATAGTTTCTTTTTGGAACGTAAAAACTCATATTTCATCATATCCCAACACACTCCTGCCATTGTGACAATCACCATTGGCAGCAATGGGACATGCTCTCATTCACTGTTTATTTTGTTTTGTATTTTCATGTTATACATACTTGTCTGACCTATCCCTGTGGACCAAGCGTCTTGTGCCGCAAGAGGGAAACAAGGAGGAACTAGACAAGATTGAAGCCAGCATTGCAAAGGCCAAGATAGCCCATACTGAACTCCAAGATGATTCTGGGTTCTTTGATGCAATGCCAGCAGAAAGTAGGAAAGCTTACACAGATCATTTGGAGGATTGGATCAATGCAAACATGGCGGTTGTCAAGAAATCTCAGAAGAAGCCCTTGTTCAGTGATGCTGCAAGTGATAGTGATAGTGATAGTGATGATAGTATTCAGTAGTGAACAAAGGGTTTCTATTCTGTCAAATATGCATGACCATGCTTGTTGGTACGCATTCCAGTTTGCATTGATTGCAACTCTGAGTTCCATGGAGATAGATGCAAAGTCTTGTTCTCTTGGCTCCCTACTTCCATAGATTTGTTCGCGGCTTTCAGCAAGATATTTTTCTGGACAAAACAGTTGCAGTCCAATTTGATTTCAAATCTTTCTGCATAGTGTGGCAAACATATGATGGATCATGCGAAACATCTTTCAGAAGTGGGATGGAGAAATTGTAGCAGCAAACTGGTCAAAAGAAGGCCGGAGTAGGTACATTGGAAGGGATCTGTTCATGCTGCGTTGTTCTTGTTCTGCAATGTGGCATTGAAGAAGATCATTTTCCGGTTTCTTCTTCCTGGAAGCTGAGGTTTCTACTATGCCAAACAAGAAGATGATAAATAATAGAAGCTCCCCTCCATGGAGTGAGATCTACAAGCGTCGTTCATGGTTACGACACTATGAAATGATGGTGTGCACAAATGACGACTAAATACAGGGGGAAATATGTGAAATGATGACTGATATTCTGATCTGGAATTGTGGATTTTGATTGGCTATACGTCAAAAATACGCCAAAGAATTACCCTCACATTTGCCCGCTGTATTTTTCTCAAATCGACATATTGGACGGATGGAAAACAGACCAAATAAGTCAAATCGAATACATTGAATCCAATACATCCAATTTTGGTTACCCGGAATGGGCCTGAGGCGCCGAGCTGTACTGTACTGTACTGTACTTTTTCAGAACCAAACTCTATAAAAAATCTTGTCATGCAACACCATCAACAGTTGTGGGAAAATTGTCATTTCTACACACAAAACAACGTAGGATATGTACTGAGACAAATTTGAAGTTTCCCACAACTCTAGTTGTAGTTGTGAGAAGTTTCCCACAACTCTAATTGTTTTATTGGGAATTATGGGGAAACTGTCCATTCTACGGAAAACTGTCCTTTCTAAGCACAAAACAACGTTTGGTATATACTGACTAGAAATTAGACAACTACATATGATGTTTCCCAAGAACTCTATTGTTTTTGTGATATTTCGTGATACATATGTTAGAATAATGCAAAATGTGCTCTATCGTGAGTGCCTTTAGCGTTGAGAACAAACTCTCTGCAATCTAAATTGGTAATCAACTATACAACACTTTCACAACAATAATTCTCCTGTGTTAGGTATACTTTGAGTGAAATTGTTACTATTTGATTAATGTTTGGCTTGAATTGATGATTCAATCACAAAAGTAAGTTCAACGATTTTCCCTTGGAAAATCCCTTGTTTACAGAACTTGATTCGACCTCTACGACAATTCTGTGTTGGATGCAATACTTTGGGACATCTTGTATTATTCCCTACTGCATTGTACACAACATCAATATCTCACTTGTATAGGGTCATTCCCTTTTTCTGTGGATGTAGATTGTCCGACAGACTTGTGTCCGGCATACTTGCGTCAAATCCTGACATCATGATCAAAGTCATGAAATCTGATAGTTTGCTGTTTTTCATTAACAACTTTGTTAGCAACACACGGGTCATGCGGGTTGAAAACAAACCCCTTTGCCTCCAAATCACTTTGAAATTGATTGTAACATCCCATAAATAGCATGTAGTACCCGCACATAGATTACTGGCTTTCCGTTCTCTAATACAACGTATTTGCAATACTCTGGGGCCATGTCAATCAATATCTGGACCATCATGCCAGTGATTTTCATGTAGATACGATCTTCTCCTTCCTTATCTTTGGGCATATAGGTTTGAATAAAAGCATAAGACACGTCCATTGTCATTATATCTCTACCTTTGTGTGCATCAATAACACAAGTAGTGGGGATTGCTTCTTGTGAAGCAGTGGGACTTGCAGTGTCCTCTTGCGATAATCATTCACGAGTTCCATCGCCTCGGTATACTAGGCGACCTTTAATTGTCTTTTCGAATTGTTTCTCCGCAAGTAACATCATGGTTGATCGGGCCTTCTTTCGCTCAGACGCGGTCATGTCTTTAACAAATTCAGGAGTAAAACAA